AAATTATGTACATTAATTTACAATTAATTGACCTAAGGCAACTTGGTTATACAAAATATTCAGGATGTTTTGGCAAATGTCAGACACCTCCATCAGCTGGTTGTAGGTCAAGGATATAGGCTGTCACTCCATTGCTTCTCTAAAAACAAATCCCAGACTGAATCTTGGTACATGCTTTACATACACATGTCTGTCAAGATATCCAAACAGCTGTCTGATTGGTCATAAGGACCACTCAGTAAGAGGAAACTCATGCCTGGTGCTGTAAACCTAGCCAGCAACCCCTGGCTGGAGGGTCATAGACTCTAGAGAAAAACTATTACTGCCCTTTCATAAGTTAATGCGGATTCCACCTCTACTCTAAATGGTCATCCTGTAGATCAGCATAGATGCCACCCCTCATTGGAGAAGCTGCTTTTTGCAGCAGAGGGGACCACAGAGGTCGACAAGTGACCTAAATGCAGAAAGTGCCTGTGGGGTCTCCAGCCACAGCTGAGACAGCCACAGCACAACTGCCATTTGTAAAGCTCCAGGGCCACTGCGGAAGGGGAGGCAGAGAGGTTGGCACTGGATGATCAAGACAACTGCAGCAGATGACAGCATCTCCTGGATGGGACAAGGATATGGCACCTACGACCTCTCATAACATGGTGGCCTGAGCAAAACCACAGCACTCAGCATGACCACATAGATGGGAAAATGTCATAGAGCCACCTAGATAAAGAGCTACAGCCAGTCGCTGGCTTCTGAGGAAGGGAGAAGTAGTTTTCTCCATCAGAGAGCACCCTAATATGTTTCCCAGTCCTAAGTGGCTCCCCCAAACATATACACATATAGGTAATACTGGACACGGTGGATTTTATATACACACATACATGTGTCTGTCTGTGTGTGTGTCTGTGTGTGTGTCTGTCTGTGTGTCTCTCTCTCTCTCTCTCTCTCTCTCTCTCTGTAAAACAATAATAATTATACAAGAAGAGATAATGAATTAGAGGGGAGACTGGGTAAAGGAATGCAGGAGAAGTTGGAGGGGGCAGAGAGAGGAAGGGAAATGATGTAAATACAATGTACTCATCTATGAAATTCTCAAAAATTTAAATTAAAAGAAGAGTAAGAGCTTTAGAGGCTGGAGAAAGCGCTTGATTGATAAAGGGCCTGGCATGCAAGCAAAAGAACCTGAGTTTGTTTGAGTTCCAGAACCCACATAAAAGCTAGGGGTGGTGGCTCATGCTTATAATCTCCGTACTGGTGAAGAGGGTGAAAGCAGATCTCTGGGCCTCACTGGCCATCCAGCCTAGCCTAATGATATGCTTCAAACCCATGAAAGACCTTGTCTCAAAAAAACAAGGTTGACAGCTCTTTAGGGACTAGAGCTGGAATTGACATCTGGCCTTCATGATGTGTGTGTGTGCGCACACACACAGAGAGGAGGGGAGGGGTTTGGGCCATATGCAGACACAGAGGCAGGGAGAGGGAGAGGGAAAACACACTTTGGGACAAATTGAATTATGTTAGAATCCCAGCTCTTCTATTCTACAGTAATACATCCTTGCAAAAAAAACTACCTCGCCACTGTGATTCAGTATCCTCACATATAAATGGCCATAAAAATAGATAACTTATGGCATTAGTGTAAGATCTAATTTATTATATAAGTAAAGTTCTTAAGCCAGTGTTTTGTATAAATTATGACTTACATTTTTATGAAGTACTATTTTCTCTTTCCCATGGAATACAAATCTTGGATAATGCTAATTTTTAATATTCTTTTAAACTGTGGTGTACACCATGGCATGAAGTGTCTCAGCTGCGATCTGAGCAGAGGAACACTGGATCAGAACTAACTTCTTCCTTGTTCAAGAAAGAACTACAAATGCCAGAGTTACACCTTTCTCTTTCTTTCCTTTTGTAGATCGTATCAAATGGTTGGTGTGATCTTAATATTAATTAAAATGCAGGAATCTCATTTACATGTGCTGTTGCACAGTCAGGTCCGTATGCTCTGTGCTGCCTTTGTGAAAGAAGTATCACAGTATTGAATTTCGTCTCGCTGAATATAATACATGAAGATATTTTTGGACTGCTTGTCATGGCAACCTGTCTGCTCTCTTCCAAGTCCATGTCTTGTATGGATATGATTGGTATCCTTATTATTTCCAGAGTTTGATCATATGAAGTGTTCAACATACCAGAATGTTCCAACCAAGTTGAAGTCATCAGGGGCTGTCATGCCAGAGGCTGATCTCTTCCCTTACTATTCAGTCATCTCATATCTTCCCCAAGATCAAAATCAAGAATGAGGCAAAGTCCTTAATACATGCCAAATTTTATTTACGTATACCTAGCAGAGTACCTTGCTCTGTCAACTTCTGCAGGAATAATGATAAGCTTGATGTGACACAATTTGTTTATGATTGAATTTGTTTGGAGAATAGGAAAGTTTAGTTTTGCTATAAATAAGGAATAGGTTTTGCTCATGTCAACAATAAAAAATAATTGGCAGTGACTTTTTAAAGCCCAGTTTTAACGAGGATTCTGGGTACTGACCAGACACAGCCATTCACCATGCCAAAACCTAATTACTTAGCACCGTCTGCCACAGAGACACAGATAAGTAGTAGCACAGATCTAACACAGTGATGTGTCATTTTGAGCTACGAGTTTTTTAAATGAAGGCCTTCCTTAAATTATTGAACTTTGGAATTTTATTTGGCTTGCCACTTACAAAGGTAACCTTTTTATAATAATTTTTAAGTTCTAATATCATTATATCATTTTCCCCTTAACTATCCTCCCTCTGACCCCTCTCATATGCCCTCCTTATTCTCTCAAATTTATGGCCACTTTTTCTATATAAAATCCTAAATATATAAATTCAACCTGATCAGTCCGTACAGTGTTACTTGTGTGCCTATGATTTCAGGGCTGACCACTTGGTATTGGATAGTCAAACTGTGGTACTCTTCCCTGGGGAAGACTATTTCTCCCTCTCTTAGCATTCCTTACTCACTACCCACAGCTGATCAAAAGTCAGAGAACAGGAGATTATGTGGTCCACTCCCAACTAATACATCTACCATCACTCCCTGAGATTAAAGGCTCACTCCACGTAAGGTGGAGGGGATGTAGGGATGATTCAGTGAATGATGGTTCTTGCTGTGCAAGCATGGGGATCTGAGTTTGCTTACTACACACTCATATAAAAATGTAGGTGTGAGGGAACATGCTCACTGTAGTTCTTTGTCTAAGGATGAGGCTTCCATGTTAGCAGGCCTGTCGATGTTGTCTTTGTTCAGGTTTTGTTTAGGCAGCCATGTTGATGAAGCACAGTTTTGCAGCAGGAATGTTAAAGAGTTCTTATTAATAAAATCAAACCTGAGGCCAGTTATTGGGCTGAACACTGGAAGATCAGAGAGACAGAACAAGCCACAGCTACCCTCACCTGGCCAACTTCTCAGCTGATCCTGTTTCCTCAGACTGGAAGCCTCTGTGTCCTCATATCCAAATGGCTCTCAGCTGAACTGCTGCTCGAAAGCCTGAAAGCTTAACCAGCCAAATGCTTCTAGTTTCTGGTCCTCACACCTTATATATCTTTCTGCTTTCTACCATCACTCCCTGAGATTAAAGGCTCACTCCCTGGGATTAAAGGTGTGTGTCACCATGCCTGGCTCTTTCCAGTGTGGCCTTGAACTCACAGAGATCCAGAGGGATTTCTGTCTCTGGAATGCTAGGATTAAAGGCGTGTGCTACCACTGCCTATCCTTTATGTTTAATATTGTGGCTGTTCTGTCTCTGACCCCAGGTAAGTTTATTAGCATGCACAATATTTAGGGGAATACAATACTACACAGTTTCATCACAGCTGTTTCTCTGTCTGTAGGAGACACAACCTCAGAACTAACTTCCTGCTCCTCTGGCCCTTACAGTCTTCCTCCCCCTTCTTCCACAATGATCCTTCAGCCTTAAAGGCAGAAGTTGTGTTGTAAATGTATTAGTTGGGAGTGGACCACATAATCTCCTGTTCTCTGACTTTTGATCAGCTATGGGTTTCCTTAATGGTCTCTGTTGCAAAGAGTTTTTTTGATGAGAGATGAGGACTGCCCTTATCTGTAGATGTTAGGATAAATATTTAGAATGTAATTAGAAATGAGTATAATTATGGTTACCAAGGTGACAGTTGCAGGTTCTCCAAGATCCATTACTTCCTTAGCCCTGGATCGTTGGCTAGGTGTCTGAGACCAAGGATGATTTCCCTCTTGTTAAGCAGGCCTACCTTCCAACAGAGGGAAGCAGCCCATGTTCTTCCCTAGCTATGATCCCTATAAACCATAACAGTGACCAGCATGGCCTGGGAAACCTAGGAATACAATAGTGGTATGCACACTTTTATGATCTCTACAGCTCTCTGATTCATCTTTTCTGTCCTTTAGACACAGTTATATGTATCAATTTCTCAGTTGTCAGTGTTCCCTATTGCCGTATTTCAAGACTGGTGAAGCATCTCAGTGATGCGGCTTGGGAGTTTTCTTAGTGGCATGAGACATAATTCATCTAGGTGGAGAAATGTTAAGCATTTTCATTACAGCAAGAAAAAAATGTTCTGCTAGTCTTTTAAGCATTTATGACTTCTAATGAAGTTTTAAATTTTTAGATAGTTTCCAATTAAGTAGTTTTTTGCCTTCTGTGGTGGTTTGACTCAGAAATGTCACCCATAGGCTCCTGTATTTGAAGAGTCGGTCCCCAGTTGCCAATACCATTAGGCAGCTAAGAAAGGTCTAGAACATGAAGCCTTGCTGGAAGCCGTCACTGGGGCAAGATTTAAGAGTTTGCAGCCTCACCTCACTTCCAGTTTACTCTTTACTTTCTTTGTGAAGTTGGGATGTGATCTGTCAGCTTCCTTCTCTGGCCACCTGCCGCCATGTCTCCCCCGCCATTATAGAGCCCCCCTCTAGAACATGATTTTCTTAAATGACCTTGACAGTCCATAAACCTGGTCAGACCTTTGTAATGACCTTGATTGATGCAGTATGCCAAAGGTGATGTCATGTAACCGCTAAGCTAGGTTATAAAAATGGCACACGCTCCCACTTTGAGCTCTTGATACACTCAGTCTCGGAATCCAGCTTCTGTACTGTGAGGAAGTCCCAAGTACCCTATGGGAAGAGACATAGAGAGAGGTTACTACATAGAGCTACTAGAGCCTCAAACCCAGTTGAGGTCTTAGCAACAGCCTTCAACAACTACCAGGTGTGTGAATGAAGAAAATCCAGATAATTCCAGCCCAAAGCACCTTCAGTCTTGGAGTCTTCGCGGCTGAGGCTCTCAACATCGTGGAGAGAAAGGTTGTCTCTGCTGTGCTCTGTTTGACTTAGCGACACGAAGTCCACACCCATAGTAAAGTAGCTGTTTTCTGCCCCCACCTCTTCAGTTGCTTTTGCGATGGAAACAATATCCTTTGTAAAATCAGTGAACATCAAATAGGGACCTAGGAACACGGCTCAGCCAATCAAGTGCTTGCTAGGCAACGACGGAGACCTGAGTTCAGATGCTGAGCCCTCACATAAAAGGCTGTTGGGGGTCTTATGTACTTAGAATCCCAATGCTGGGGAGGCAAAAGGATTTGAGGCTTTCTGCCTAGTTAGTCTAGTTGAACTGGTGATCTCCACGTAAGGTGGAGGGGCCGTAGGGATGACTCAGTGAATGATGGTTCTTGCTGTGCAAGCATGAGGATCTGAGTTTGCTTACTACGCACTCATGTAAAAATCTAGGTGTAAGGGAACATGCCAGTAATACTAGAACTGGGGAGACAGGGACAGAAAGATTCTTTGGGTTGGCTGGCCAGCCAGTCCAGCCAAATCAATGAGCTCTGGGTTCAATGGAAAATCCTGTCTAAAATTATTAAGTGTAGAATGATTGGGAAAGGCATTCAACATTGACCTCTGCTCTCCGTATGCATACAAATACATGTGTGCAAATAACTACAGGGTGTATACATACATACATACATATACACACACACACACACACACACACACACACACACACACACACCAGTCCTATAGTAACTGTACCTTGTACCAAAATGGAATCCTGAGAAATGCCTGAGTGTCACGTGTTGAGTGTATTGAGCATAGATTTATTTCAAAAGTCCCAAATTCAAATGTTTTATGATTGAATCAGATTTCCAGAACAGACTAGGGTCAGTTGAACATTTTTTAAATCCCATTTCAAGCTGAAGTGAATGAAGAATGAAAGGAGAACACTGTCCAAGAACACAGTATCATCACCTCTTTCTGTGACACTGACCCCTACATCCTGGACCTGCTCCTGATCAGGCATCACTTGGGGAGTGGGGGGCAGGGTCCAGCACTTCTGCTTCCTGAATGAAAGGAAACCCTAGCTCATCCTACAGCATGTGTTAAGGGCTAAACTCCTTCCTTGTATAGAAATCAAGGCCGTCCATAGTGAGACCGTCTCTACCTGCCATGCACGAATGCCCACTAAGAGCACAATCAAATCATGAGGCAGAATGCAGCCAATTCAGTCCACTGATCCATCACTAACTAAAATGTCTATAATCTTTGAAGCACACAAAACTTCTCATTTATCCTTTTAGGACATTGTCCTGCTTGCTAAGATCAGGAAAAAAAAAATTCCTGGACCTTAAGATATATTACAATATATAGGTCCATTGTGAAAGCAAGCCTTCCCACTAACAGGCAGGGTCTGAGTGAAAGACAAAAATGTTAGACAAAGCCTACCAAAGACCCTTCAACATGGACGTGAATTTGAATGCTTCTTTACACATAACTCACTGTTGAATTTTAACATTAAAATATTTTCCTGAAATTTAATCACTAAAAGTCATTTTGCTAGAATAAGGAATCCTGATTTGGGTCCCCAACATCACACCCTCAGAAGCCAGGGGCTGGATGAGTGCTTGTGGGATGGATTTGAATATTGAACATCAGGTTTTTTTAGTTTTTAATAAAGCTTATTTTTATTCAACGTCAAGGAAGACTTTTCAGGAAATAATATTAAGGATAGAATGCCAGTGTAGATAGCTACTCAGTAACAAGGCAATGTTAGATAACACAGAACATTCTTTGAATGCAGCAAAGGTACAGGTAAGGTTCATTCTGTATGGCCTGCTTCCTGATAGCTTGGGACTGCTGCATTTATCACCATGGTTTTATATCCACTGAGTCCTACAGCCCATATTCTTTCAATAACAAACTGTAAAGACCAGAGTAAATTTCTATTTTCTGCCAAAATACATGTTTGCTCTTTTTTATTCTATAAGTGTTTTTTTTTGCCCTCCAATCCATACATGGCTCATATTCACTCTTATAAAGAATAACATACTTTATATATTTTGGTGCCTGCCTGGTAGAGATGCTGTTTTGATTCCTCCTACTTGGATTCCGAGGATGCAAGCTGGGACAATCAAGTAGTAACCATAGTGACATAAAGCAGAGTTCTCATCTTAGCAAGGTCAGGTCATTCTTTCCCACAGTGCAGACCTCACATTCTAAGACTAATCCAGTATCTAAAATTAGACCCGGGACAACTCATGTTGCCATGTATGGCAAAATATGACTGAATCGGTTAACTAATTTCCCTGTGGCATAAAAAGAATCCTTGGTTGGTAAACCAAGAAATCTTAGCTTTAGGAGGACAAAAATGGGAAAGAGAAAGGGAACCATTTCCTGTTTAGTCGGTTGGTTTCTGAATCTGAAAGAATGACAGAAGGGAAGAACTAGGTCCAAAGAAAAGCTGTCATAAAAATCAAGGGTGACGCTGATGAAAACTGACTGCGGCGGATACTGCCTGGGCTGTACCCACCTGTGCAGCCCAGAGCATCACAGAAGCTTGCCTCCAGCTGGGGGTCCCTCTAAACACCTTAACTGCTGCTAACTCTGGCTTCGTAACTGCATGCGACGCAGGACTGCCAGTGACCTCAAGCACACCAAAAGGTGTGGTTCAGTGGCTGCTTGTGCTCACGGCTCTGTCTGCACCTGGTCACCCTAGTTAAGTGTGAGAGACAAGTGCAGTGTTTGCCTTGGGCCCACGTTAAGGTTTACAAGAGGCTTTGTTTGATTTGATCTCCAGACTTTAGACAATTCTGAATACCAAAGACAGCAGCTAGGAGGCAGAATTAAAAAAAAAATCTTAACTTACTTTGGGAGTAGGTTCAGCTACTGAGTATGTGGTCTGGTTATATAAACTAGCTGGGCGGAGTGAGGCTTTTCAGTAGGGGCCTCACCAGTTTACTGCTGTTGCATGTCAACCTTAACTGCATTACATACATGACGTTTTTTAGCTAAGCACCTTAGACATCCCATCCCCAGTTCTTCCAACATTCCTATTCTGAAAGTGAACAAACATTGTCTCTCGGCTTCATTACACGTGGGAAGATGTCTACTTAATTCCTAGGGCCTTCCTTTCAAGCTTAGCTCATTCATCTCCAGGTAATGACATTTACCCAGATTCTCACTGCCAAAGATTTCTCTCCTCCCTTTCTGATATATAATCTGATTCTAATCTCCCTGACTCCTTGGAATGCTTAATTTTTTTTCAAGAGGTTGTGTGGACACGGGCTAAGATTGACTCAAAAGAAAACCTGGGCAAAACACAGAGAAACAGAGACAGAGACAGAGACAGAGACAGAGACTGACAGAGAGAAACAAATCCAGAGAGACACAAGGATACAGAGAGATAGGGAGAGGGAGAGAGGGGACAGGGTTTGCCTATGGACACATCTGACAAGTCAGAGCACTGTCTCCTGTGCCCAAGCCTGACTTGATGGCCCAGGGATAAACCAGACAGACTCCTTTGGCCAATTCTAGAAGAGGGGCTGGGGGTGGTTATTATGCAGTAACTAGAAAAGATGATTTAATATTCAATAGCCAGAGAGAACAGCCTTGAAATAAAGATAGCAAGCTCATTTAAGATGATATTTTGATGCACATATCATCTATCTTCCTGAAAATAGTATGTACCCTGAGATGTTTCACAGAACAGAAAGTTGTTTTGGGGTCTATCCAGCTTACCAAATGAGAACAATCATGAGAAACAGAGATAATGAGGAAATGTGTTCTCAAAATCATCTCCAGGAGAGAAACTTCGGGATGCAGAAACCGGTGCAGAAAAGCTATATATCAGGAAACTGGGGAATGCTGTGTGGGAGACCAGGGCACAGTCTAAGGTCATACTATAAATCTCTTTGGAAGGACGCCAGTATTTAAAGTTGCTGAGCTTGAACCTGAAGCTGTGTCTGTCATCACAGGCGAAGCTGGAAGGTGCAGTGTTCCTCACTTAGTAGAGCACCTATGACCAAGGTCTAGAACAAACACAGAGTGTGTGGGTGGGGGTGCCTCAGAGAGCAAGGGCGCGCCCCAGGGAAGCGGATCCTGAGAGGGTTCCTGTGTGAACACAGCTGGTCTCCTTCCCATGGCATTGTCCATAAAGGCTGAGCAGATAACGTCTGGGAATTCCCTCTGCCCTTCATTTATTCAGCCATTAAAGTCAACTCCATTATCTTTGGCAGGACCTAGTGCAAGGCAGTTGATAAGAGGCTTAAAACTCCAGGAGATAAATTATTTAGAGAGGTTTACAGTACAGACTTTATTTTCTACACAAAACAATATTAAATAACAATCCAATGCTGCTAATTTTAGCTTTTTTTTTAGCTCTACAGTGGTGAAATTTCTTTCCTTGAATTATTTCTAAAGGCCGAATGTTGAAAACCGCTCCGTCACAGCAGCAGTGTTCGGTCAAGAAAGGTTCATCCTCCAGCGGGTTCTGCAGCTTCATCTTTAATCTGCTTTTTTTCTGACTTCCAGATTAAAGTTTACCAAATATAAGTGGCAATGGTGAAATTCTTAATCAAAACTCTTGTTTCCTCATGGAGAGCCCTAAGAGGTAAGAGGTAGACTGTGGAGGAATAATCTTTTTGTACACTGTGAATATGTGACTCTGATTGGTTTAATAAAAATAAATGACCAATAGCTAGGCAGGATTTTCAGGGCAGAGAGGATGCTGGGAAGAAGAGGGCAGAGTCGTCAGCCAGACATGGAGGAAGCAGGAAAGCAACATGGGCAGTACAGAGTCAAGGTAATAAAGCCACGAGGCAGAAAGTGAATTAGTAGAAATGCGTGAATTTAAAAGAACTAGTTAGAAACAAGCCTAAGCTATTGGCCGAGCTTTCATAATTAATAAGAAGTCTCCATGTGGTAATTTGGAAGCTGGCTGGCAGGACAGAGAAAGACTCGCACAGTAGACCTTTTATTCTCTATTGTATAGAAACAGTGAGTGGTAGCAAGCAGCATGACTTGAAGCAAGACAGTAAGAGTGTGAAGATGAACCAGTCATGGTAACACTTGCTTTTAATCCCTGCACTGAGGAGACAGTCAGGCAGATCTCTGTGAGTTCGAGGCCAGCCTGATCTATAGAGTGAGTTTCAGGCCAGCCAGGGCTACATAGAGAGACTCTGCCTTAAAAACGGAAAAGAGTGTGAAGATGCCATGGCTTCTGGTCTCTCCCTGCATTGTTAGTTATCTAAATTACCACTTGAAAGTGCAGAAGCCCAAACCATAGTGCACCAAGCTGACCTATAAGAGTTTATTAATTCCATAGAGTTTTCAGATAGAAGGATTCATACAAGTCAGTAAGAGACTTAGATTCCGTTGATGAGATCATCCAGGGTCTCTTAGTTTTCAATTATGGATATAGTAATGAATGAGGGAACTAATTCACTAGTGCACTCTGCGTTTTCTCCAGCTGTATAACGGAGATTGGTAACACTGTCAAACACAGCATGGGGTTCCCCTCCTTTCTCCATCCAGCCACCTTAGGAGTAATTTGGGAATCTGCACCCAACTTCATATGTGCAGGAAATAAAGACTTTGTAGTGGTTCTAGGAGGTTTGGGGTGAATTTATTTCTGATACGTAGTCTACCCAGGCTCAGCAAATTCACAGGGAAAATAGTTTACGATTATAGCTATTATACAAGATGATATTTTTGAATATTTGTGTGTGACAAATTCATTTAAACTTCAAATTTAAGTATTTCCAGTTTTAAAAAAATTATTTGTTTGCTCATGTACAGTGGATAAATTTTTTTTTATTAGGAATCTGAGCTGGAACTTGGCCCCCAAATGACTTTGGGTAGGCTACTTTATGCTATCCCTTTAATTTCTAGATAAGTAAAAAGTAGTTAATATATATTTTATAAAGTTGTTTGAATGATTAAATGAATTCATATATATCTATATTATATATGTGTATGTATATACACATAATAATTTAATAAATACTACTTTAAATGGCTTTGTCATGAAATTCGGTCCTAGCACTCTGGAAAATAGCTAAGCACATCAGGACTTTAAGGTGATAAAAGGGTGATGGTGACGTCTTGTTCACAGTGGAGTTTTGTTACACTGAGATGGAGATCTGGTATTGGTGCCAAGGGTTGTGACTGGGATAGTTGTGGAATGTGAATCTGCACAAAAGTCAAGCCATAGAATCGGGGTCTGACAGTGCAGTCTTCCTAAAAACTAACTCTTAGCGTGAGTCCAGTTGCATTGTGTTTCTGTTTTCCTGCTTTCATTTAAATGGCGGATGCTCTCTGAAGGACGATAAGAAACATCACCTAACACAGAGAGTAAACCTTTGCAGCCTGCAAAAAGAGATGGACCGTGCTGGCTTCACAGCTGTGAGCAGCATCAGTCGATGGAAGAAAATGCAGGCCAGGTCATCCCTCCCTGACACTTCAGACCCAGATTACGTGAAACGGGGTGGTCCAAGGGATGCAGTGCGGCCTTTGCGGAACAAGCATTGAGCAACAGAACAGTGGCATCATCACTGGCCATGGTCTCACACTGACTCGTGGAACCAGCTAGCCCCTGTTGACTCCTTGAAGCATTTCCACTGAGAAGGTAACAAAGGCTCTTGGGGTGTAGAAACAAGGCTCCCCACGAGCAAGGTATTAGTGGAAGGACAAATCAATACCATCAGCTAGTATTTTTAAACCTTAAAAGAAAAATTTAAAGGCCACGTATGCCGGAAACATACTGTGTGTGGGAGGGAGGAAGGTAAAGATTTCTTATGGAGAGAAGCCTCATACCTCAGAGAAGACACCATCTGGAAACCCCACGTGAGTGTCTGGGGCAGACTAGGGAGCTCCAGAGGAGGAAGTGGATTCAGATTGAGCCATGATGGATTGAGTAAAGGTCTGTCCAACAGTAAAAAATCAGAACCAGTGTAGGACTCCATCTGAGGTCTGAGACCGGCCCTGTGAGCAAACCTGAGCTGTTAGGACACCACCAGGAATTCCAGGAATGCAAAAGACCCAGATGTTCTCTCACACCTGGGAAAGCTCCCATCCCAAAAGCACTTTGTGGCCAGGTGGTGGTAGCGCACACCTTTAATCCCAGCACTTGGGAGGCAGAGCCAGGCGGATCTCTGTGAGTTCGAGGCCAGCCTAAGAGCCTGAGCTACCAAAAAAAAAAAAAAAAAAAAAGCACTTTGTGACCTTTGCCTTTAAAAGCTCTCCTCCCCATTAGGCTGGGCCTCAGTGCCAGCCCCAACTTTGGGAACTGAGGACAGTTTAAATAAAAGTTCAGCTAATGACACTCGGATAGAGTCCAGTGGTCTCTAGGTGTTTTCTAACTCCATACACAAGTTCACTCTTCTCTTCTTTAACAATCTGTCGATCTCACTTTCTGCTCTTCTCTCCCTTTTCAGTATAATCAGCTCTTCAATATGATGAGCAAACAGTGCAGGAGTAGGAATCGAATCACATTTTCTAAGGCTGGTGATTTGAAAGCCTGCATGCAAGCAGAAGAACAAACCAGAGTGGCCCCGTGTGTTCACAACCTCCCTTGTTTAGAGAAGAATGGAAATTGTTATGAAGAGGAATGTTGAAAACTTGCCTATTGTTCTTTAAAGATCATAGAGTCATTGATAATCCGATGGAAGACAGTATAGACCTCGAGTAATAAGAGAGGAAAAGAAGGTCCCCGGAGCATAGGCAATCACAGAGATTTAGCGACAGAATCAGGACTGAACCCTGGCTTTCCTCACTAGTATCAACTGCACGTTTTTATCTTGGGGCATAGCAAAGAGTAAACAATTTAGGTTTGTCACATCTGATTGCAAACGCATACAAAATTTGTATTTCTAAAGTTAAATGTGGCCATCTCAGCTTTTGCTGACAAATGCAGCTGTAACATCACAGCTTCTAAGAAGCAGGTGGATGTGAACAGCACACACACACACACAAATGCAAAGTGCAGTTACACAAATATCAGGGCCTATCTTAGCAAACCAGTGCCAGGACCCATTCCACGTGATTGGTTTAGTCAGCAGGCATTTACTGAGCTCTCATTACATTCTAGGTGTCACTGTGCTGGATACTTGAAAAGAGCTCGTTAAAAATACATAAGAGAAAAAGGCTTCAAGCTTCACCCCACAAGATGCCCACCTTCCTGCAAGAGAGATGGATCCTGAAGGAGACACGAGAGAGAGAAAAGAGCAGCAGAGTGGAAGAGAGAGCAACTTGGGACAAGGCAGGAGGAAGGAAAGAGAAGCTCCTGACTCATGGGAGAACTGTTCCGTGCATTATTTCACATCTGAGAAACCCAACCAATAAACATACCGCCAGTGGCAGAATGACCACATGACGTTGTTGCGAACCCAAGACAAGCTGAGCCTCAAGACTGGAAACTAAACATTCACCATTTACATTGTCTGAGGAAGATGGATTGAAGCTGATGGGCCTGGCCAAAGAATAATAGTGAAATCTTGGCTATCACACCCCCTACCAGGGTTTGTACAGTGAGCACTGGGTAAAAAATCCTAATTTTAGTATCACCCCAAGGGTCTAATGATCCTAGAAAACAATCATGGGGCCAGGGTATGGCCCAACGGTAGACAGCTGCTTAAGAGAACAGCCCTAAGGTAATATTAAGTCTCCTTGGCTGGGATCCTCCACATTCCAAAAGGGCAGCTGGGCAACTTATCATCCTTCCCTCTCTTTAGTCCCATCTCTGGGATGACAAAAGAAACGGACTTGAAATGCAGTGGGGAAGTGACTGTGCTGGATGAGTGTCTAATCTGATTTCTGTAACAGACACTGCCAGGAAACAGTGCTGAGGAAATGTGAATTATGTGGTCCTGGAAGAAGGCAGCTCTGGCTCCCTGTGGAGGACACCAGAACTGTCAGTCCAAAGACAACACTGCTCAAGACACCTGGAATCACCACTGCCCCTGGGCCTCATCGACTCTGACTCTAGAGACAGGACGGAATCCCATAGAAGAGGCTTCATTACATCATTTGAACCAAGGTAAGATGGATGACAAGCTATGGGGGTTGCAGTTTGGTATGAAAAACTAATATTTGAATCTCTTGGTTTTAAAAGAAAACATCCTTGGAAAGAACTGCAAGAAGACTTCTGTACCACAGAAATAAAATTCCACTTTGATCCAAAATGCTACTGGGATCAATTCTCAGAAAAGGCTAATCTGACTTTCTTCATTCAACAGTGTCAAATTGATAAGTAGATCTATCTGAAGTAACATCTCTGGTGCCACTGTGGAGTGGAACTTGGGATACCCTCCTGATGACAAAGCTTTTAAGAAAGAAACTCAGAAGACAGAACTCAGTGCCAATCAGGGTATCAGAGATAAAAAGTATGTGGGGCACACATGGCTTATTTACTTAGACAAGTCATAATCGTGTCAAGAAAGTAGGACCCACAAAGGGTGCATTATTAAGCAGGCCACCAATGTAGGGAACAGCTGCACAATCCTACTGAACACCCTCTGAGAAATACTAGGAATATGCTGAAGTTCATTCTAATCCAAGGAGATACTGAGCAATGTGATCTCATGGTATGGCAATTGTACAAGTGGGATTGACTGCCCATTATCAATGAGAGAGGCAGAGATTTTTATTATTATCATGACTTTAGCTCAAACAGCCAAATTCAGCTGGAGCCAAAGGGAAACAGTAAGGAGAAAATGAAAACAGGCGAGCAGACTGCTGCCCACCCTGAGCCAGAGAGGATCACAAACTTGCCTTGATTTTCTGGCATGGGCTGAAGTTTGGTAATTGTCCATCGGTTATGGGCACAGTTTTAAAAGATGTTTTCTAGGCCAGCAAAATGACTTAGCAGGAAAAGCTGCTTGCAACCAAGATTGGGGACCTGAGCTTGGTCCCTGGGACCTGCCTGGTAGAAAGAGAAAAGAGATTTCTCTCAAATTGTCCTCTGACTTCCGCACACCATAGCATGTATGCTTCCCATCAACACCACCACAGGAATAAATGCAATCCTCTTTTCTTTCAACATTAAGAGAAATTTTTCTTCTTGTGTGCAAGCATTCTGGTTTTGAGGTTTGGAGGTAGAGGTTCCCAGAAGCTCAACTGAACCCAGGAACCACTACATGAATGTTCTAGCTCCACGGTTTGCTCTGGGCCTTATGACAAGGCTAAGAGAATACGGATGCCTGAGCTGTGACCACTGGATCCCATGGGCAATGAGCCAGGTTAATCTTAGGTAGTAGTCCTGGAATTCCATTTGATACCATCTGTTCTATCTGTGATGCTGAGTAGAATCTGACCCTAGGGTTAAGACAGCAACGAGGACAGACACAGAGTGATAGCAAGTTTGTTATCTTAGTGTAGTTATCAGATATCTGTAGGCGTAAGTGAAAAGTAGGTGTTTTTAGTGTGCATGTACACAACACAAACACACACACACACACACACACACACACACACACACACACACACACCTCCTGAAGTTTCTGGAAAGTAATCTAGACAGCTCTTATCACCCATACATTCGGACTGTTGTCCACATCTGAGCCAATGAGAAGCAAGTCAAGTATTGTCCAGCATATGACTGCTGAAGTTTGTAGTTTATAGGCTAACAGGTAGCAAAGCTATGTTTTATTTTGTCTAGCTTTTTATAACATCAGCATAGAAATTCATTATGAAGTAAGCATGATCCTGCTGATAACTGGGTTGATTCAGGGCACTTATTAGGGATGTTTATGAGACAGACTCTTTCTTGGTAGTAATTCTCCCTTGCCTTTTTAAAAGAATATTACTTATTTACTTATTTATTGACAATTTCATACATGTATGCAATGTTTCTTGATCAAATTCAACACAACTCCTCTTTCCTTTCTGAGCCCACTCAATACTTCCTCCTCCATCTTCATGTCTTCATTTTAATATAGTCCATTGACTCTAATTAGTGCTCCCTTGCATGGACATGGGTGTGGGACCATCCACCTCCTCCATCTTCATGTCTTCATTTTAATATAGTCCATTGACTCTAACTAGTGCTCCCTTGCATGGACATGGGTGTGGGACCATCCAGGGGAGCATTGGCAACCTACCAGTAGACACATCTTTGAAGAAAACTGACTCCTCCCCACACAGCCAATCAATGGCTCCTCAGGTAGGGGTGGGGCCTCATGAGTACCTTTCCTGACCTTGCTAGAATTTTAACTTGATTTTGTGCAACAACCACAGCTTCTGTGAACTTATGAGGGCAACAGCCATGTCAAGTCCAGAAAACAGTATTTCACAGCACTCCCCTGCCCCATCCTCCAGCTCAGAGGGTCTTTCCATTCCCTCTCCCAAGATGTTCACTGAGTCTTGGGGAGGTTGGTGCAAATGTTCCGTGGAGTTCTGAACATTCAACAATCACTTGTTCTTAGCTCCCTGGCCAGTTGTGAAGCTGTGTATTGACTGTTGCCCACTGTGAAAAGAAGCTTCTCTGGCCAAGGTTGAGAGCAGCACTAATCTATGGCTATAAACATCAATATTTAAAAAGCAGTTTGGCAACAATGTCCATTTAGCAAAACAGCAGTAATAGGTTATACTCTAGAGCCTATGACCTTCCCAGTCATGGGCTTTGGATCAAGTTTATGGTACCAAGCATGAATTTCCTCCTGTGTAGGAGGAAACAATCTCGAACAATCACAAAGCTGTTAGTTACCCCTCATGCCATTATTGCATCAATGGGCACATCTAGCCTGGCAGGTCAGCATTTTAACATGAAGGGACTGCCGTGGGCCATCGATAACTTTTCTTCCCCAACCGTCTCCATAGCAACTTCTGGCACTATGGAAACTAGCTAGGAGGTAGGAAGTACCCAGGTCAGTTCCAGCTTGATTATTCCTACAACCAAAGTGAGCTTCGTCCTCAGCAATGGAGTCTTACCATCTAGTTATGATGAACAACAGAGCAATGGCAAACGCTTCTGTTTGGGGAGAAAGACACTGGAACCTTCTCGACTCATAGGGAGTTATCTCATGCCTGGCACTGATACTTTCGTTTAATAACCCATCTCTTCTAGGGGAAGCATCGCCTACCTCTATTCAAACTTCTTTTCAGAAGAAGGAGAAGGAGATGATGACCATGATGATTTTTTAATTAGCTTACAAAGCAGATTTCCATAGGGCTTTTTCATACCCCTTGGGTTTGGGTTAACCCACTCCCTTCTCCCTCCTCCCTGAAGCTCTGCTTAAACCTTTAGCCCTTACTATTTCACAAACACTCTTTCCATATCACACATGTTCTGCCATCCCTTCTCACTCAAGGCCTCTTCCCCTCACCTCTCATGTATCCCTTCCAGCTTCCTGATCTCAACAGATCCTCCAAGTCAGATGTACAAATCTAAAATGTTGAAGTTAGGATCCATATTACAAATAAGATTATGTGGCATTTGTCCTTCTGTGCCTGGCTTACTCTTTATTTTTGTTTGTCATTTGTATAGACCCCAAACTCTACTAGTTTTAGCGTGGTCTAATTATTGGGGAGCGTCCAGTCTACAAACATTCCGGCCTATCAGAGCTATAGAAAGCCTGTTTTTCAGGGCCCAGAGTTGATTTGCCTTTTTTGTGGTCTGTCTCAGAAGTGAACAGCTGCAGCACTCATCAATTCCAATGGTCCACTTAGGGAGAGTGGCTCATAGGACACATGTCCCGGCTGTCTTGTACATGGACCAGTGATGCACACAAAAAAGGGAGCAAGAATCTGAGGATGCCATTGGCACATAAGTGATGTGGATCCTTGGTCAGGTCAAGAGCTATAGGCAGATGACATTATCTGTTCCGGAGTGACTAGAGGACCCATGGCATCCCTCCTTAGGGGAAGGAGACAAGGTCTCGGGCAAACGGAATCAAGGCATGCTTTCATCTGGTCATTTAAGGACACAAAGATTTTAGAGAGATTAGCAGTCCTGAAGCTCTTTTGTGTCCCGGTGCCCTCTGTAATAATGAACATTTCACCAACATATATGAAGAGCTGAAAGAGTAAATGCCATTTTTCGTTCAAAGAAAGTATAAAGGGGAAAAAAAAAACCTAAACCTTTCTATAATTGTCACCTTATTCCTCCCCATGTCTCGACGTGGTTTTCCTCCCAGATACTTCCCTGGCGATGTTTGTTCTCATGTGGCAAAGTTCTCGAACATTCCACTAAATATGTCCTCATCTGAGGCTGATTTAGGTCTGTGCTGTGATTCAACAAAAGAATTCACACTGAAAAGTCGTGTACATGCTCGGTTTAACAACAACAACAACAAAAAAAATTGTGCACATTTGTTAAAAATTTGGTTCTAGAACGTCATTCCTCAGATGGGAGGAAGGGACCTAAGTCAACAGGAAGGAAGACAAGGTGTGCCAGAAAGTGTTAGCCAGCACCACCTAACCTGAGTGGAGGGCTCAGGTCACCCTAAGCTGAGTGGAGGGCCCAGGTCACCCTAACCTGAGTGGAGGGCCCAGGTCACCCTAAGCTGAGTGGAGGGCTCAGGTCACCCTAAATCGAGTGGAGGGCCCAGGTCACCCTAAGCTGAGTGGAGGGCTCAGGTCACCCTAAGCTGAGTGGAGGGCTCAGGTCACCCTAAACCGAGTGGAGGGCCCAGGTCACCCTAACCTGAGTGGAGGGCCCAGGTCACCCTAAACCGAGTGGAGGGCCCAGGTCACCCT